GAACTATAAAAAATAAGTTCAGTGACGCAGAAGAGTTGTACATGTTATTTACAAAAAAGCGATTGTGAACATATAACTTTTTTTACTACTTACTACGATCATAAATACAACATTTTAACAATAATCCTTATATAATTTTAAAATATCATCTATCAAAAATATACAGATTTTTCTTTCCAGTATATTTAAGGAGTAAAAATAAATCCGTTGTTCAAAGTCACACAATCCTACAAAATAATAAATACACTAGATTATATTATTATATATAGATATTTCGTGCACCTTAATACTAGAACTAGTAATAGCAGGTTGTAAATTATAACCTCAATTTTTTTTTGATTTAATGTATAGTCACGTGTCACAATCTGTATATGACGCCAACAGTTTAATGTCACATCTACTTTTTTTATAAACAGCTATATGTACTTAATTATATATTTTTTTAATTATAATAGATATGAACAAAAACTTCTAAAAATCTTTCGAATAATACTGGTCTGTTTGGCATACTTTTTCGAATCCATATTTATTAACTATGCAAAGCTACAAAACTTTCATAACTTGTTTTATACAACAAATTTTTACAATGTCGACATAAAAATACGAAACAAAATTATATGGTATTTTGCTTCCAAGCTTTCCATTTGCGTAATGTATCTCGTCAGGAAGAGGAAAACAGCTAACTGCTTGTTGGTAAGAATAAAAATTTATGTGGAGTGATATTGTTGATGAGGGTCAGCATTTTATTACCCTGGTACAGTTGCCAACAGCTTATTCGGCGTTGATTTTTGGACCCTCTTTTTGGCATCAAATATTTAGAATTGAGAAACAAATCCCATATACGCAGAATGTTAAAATTAATAATAAAAACTTTTATATATTTAGGACTTTACTTTTTAACGGTGTTATTATTTGTTGCCATATTGTAACAACGTGAAAGTTTACCGTTATTTAAACTTGGCTTATAAAAATATTTAGATCTGGTATCTTATTAATTTTTTATATAACAATTGAAAAACTTTAAAGTTTTTTTTCTGGTCTTTAAATTATTATTTATTTTAGATTTTGTTATTAAAACGATTAGGTAACAAAAACAGTAAAAATATTTTTTTAATAAAAATATAAATATCATTTTGTTCATTTATTTTGATTGACTTCTTAAAAAGTCTATCAGGATGAATTGATCAGTGAAATAGAAATAAGTAAAACAGTTTGCAATATTTTATTGTAATTTTGGCATATTATATAACTTTGTATTTATATCGAATAAATACACAATTTGACTGATTCATCACCTCTAAAAAACAACTTCATAAAATTCCAAAAAACACTATAACAAAAGGTAAAACTATATAGTATAATTAGTTTAAATATTCCCGGTTTTTCTTTATATTTCCGTAGCACCCTAGCATTTAGAAGTATTTAGTTCCAAGTATTTAGAACTAGATGTCCCCTTTTTTTAGCGACTTATTTATTTTACAACTGCCCTGAAGTGTATAAAATTCTGGATAAAAGTTATTTATATGCAAATCGAGATATCGAGGCATTCAGACTCCCTCGTAATAACAGTCGAAAATTTGAGCAAACAAAAGTACCTAAAATATTAAAATTCAGTCAGAGAAGTAGATTATAATACGTATTTTTATTTAAAGGTTTTGTCTATAGTTTTTAGTGAGTAAAATCCATGAGGAGTACAAGTAAGTATTACTGTCGTCTTAACATTAAGAAGAATGTCCTGAATGTTTGAAGTGACTTTGATTTGAACTGTACTGAACGCATAAGGTTGTGTTAACATTCTGAAAACTGAATCAAATCTCTATTTCGTTACAACGTAAGTAAGTTCGTTGAAATAATTATTGAGTATGCTAATTAATGAACCATACTGTTTGTTATTCTGACAAAGAATGTAGTGGTTTGCCTAAACTGCAAATTGGCTTGTTTTATTGGTATAGGAGTCGTAAAATTTAGATTAGATCCAGTTTAGCCTATTTTGAGTTCATATTATAACTTTGTGAATAAATATAGAACATATTTTTACTAGTCTCTAGGACTATGTCTGGAAAACCCTAGTGATCAATAGAGAATCCTTGTTTTATTATAGTTATTTCTATAGTTTAAAATATTTATTTCAGATAAGTTAGCAATAGAATTAAAATATGATCAATTGTCAGTATCACTTTTTATTTCTTTCGAGTTATATTTTAAACCATAAATTGATAAAAAAAGGTTTTAATCGACGTTTAGATCATTTTGCAATGAGAAATTACGAAAAGACGATTTAAATCCGAAGATATAGTTTGATGGAAATGAACTAGTATTCTACAAGTTTGAGTTAACTTATTTTGCGATAGTATGTTTGAAATGTAGGGTTCTGGGTCAAATTGACTTTCACAAAATTAATTAACCAAATAGTGGGTTACAGCTATTTGGTGTAAAACTAATAGGAGTTTATACAAACTGCAACTTTCCTTATTTACTTAATTAAAGCAACGTTCGGTCTCTTAAAGAAATGTATTTAATTATTTTCATCAAGCTCCTTTTTATTCAAACTTATACAAAACAAAGTAATTAACTCTGAAAATTATGTAAACTTATTAAAATCCGTTTATTTTTTACTACTTTATTTACAAGTAAGTTATTTTGAATTTCTTAAAACTACAAACAGATTAAAATAGCCTACTTGCCCTTTCTTTTATGTACTTGAGCTTCCAAAACAGAGATTTTTTATTAGACTTCATTTGAAAGTAAATTGGGGTGAAAGTTTTAATACTTAGAAAAGTCAGTTATTAAAATTCTGTCACAACATAGCAAACTGGGCTAAACCTCTGTCAGCCTTATGGCGATCAATCAAATTAGAACCAGCTAATTTGTTACAAAATTTAATTCCAACTTTCATAGTGAAACTCTATGAACGTATTTCAGTTGGTGAAAAGATAATTTCATGGCTATTGAGAAAAATAATTTCTGTAAGTGAATAATATTTCCAAGCCATCGCTTTCGTTCGAATACCCTTGTTCCTTTTTTTACTCATTTGGTTTGACAGTTCCTTCGTAATTTTGAGGCGACGTATTCTAATTTTCCCTTATATTTTTATTATATATTAGAATTTAGTTAAAAAAAAGAATTTATTAATTTTTAAATCTTTTAATAAATTATAATAAGTATCTAACGTAATATCATATTTAGTCACTTGTCATATAGCTTTTCTGTAATAGTATATCACCCAAATCGACATATATATCGTTATCAAGTATGAAGTAATTAAACCCAAATCTGAAATAACAGCTGGAATGGGACGAGATACATATCCTAATATAACGACGGATCTTGAAATAGTATATAATCGGAAAAGTTTTACACCTGTATGAACTGGAGGTGATGTTGTAAGATATAATGCTCCCACAATCCAAAACGGAGCTAGATTCTTTAACTCTGAAAGGTAGGCACGTCGAACAATATCCGTATTAGAAAATATTCCTTTATTCACCCATGTCATTGCAGCCAAGGAGCTTAGCGCAAGTAATTTAACAGCTAGTAAGGCTGCATGCACCATATACGTCTGCGTAAGTGGTGCATCTAATGATATAGTTATGGATTTCATTTCCAATCATAGCTTGTAGATTTTCAGAACTTATTTTAAACGTGATCAGTTTGATTGGTGGCTGGCATTGTGGACAAATTATTTATAAATATGAATAAGGATGTTTTCTAATATATTCTACATATTATCATATGCAACGATTTTAAAAATATTTATAAATATGATAGACAATGACATTTATTGACAATATTTGAAACAATTGTAGATTGCATAGCTTTATCGTTTAAAAAACATAATAATAAATAATTTAAATGCTATTTAAAAATAAAGGAAGTGATGTTGAGAGTTTTTATCAACAATAAATAAATGGAAAAAAATATTTTATTAAATTTGATATATTGCAAAGAATGCAGTTACATAACTCCACTTAAAAGTTCAACACAGCTGTAGTTCCTTAATTAGAGTATTTTCCATTGAAATGTAATTTTTTTAGGTCTTAGGATGCGTTTATCAGAGGAGTATTTTTTAAATGGAAGTTATTATTATTACAAGTTATTTTCCGTAGATTAGGACTACTGAGGAAACCGCATGAAAAAAAACGGTCACCCATATACACTTCATAAATCGTAGATAGTTTATTTTCTAAACTTCCTTTTTTAACTCCTTCCTTTTTTAACTTCCTTTTTTAAGTAAACGTAAAGAATGTGTACAGACCGGGATGGTCTGTACACATTCTTAAAAAAAGGACCTTTCCAGAGAGGAGCACCGATACCAATACCAAAACAATTCTAAAGGCGTTTTGATTTATATTATATTGTAAAAATTTTGAAAATAATACCTCTATATTATATATATATTTTTTTTATGGGAAAAGGGGGCAACTGAGCAGACGGCCTACTTGCTGATAGGTAGTTACCGTCGCCCATGGACATCCGCAACGTAGATTTGCGGATGTGTTGCCGCCCTTGATTGGGGAAAAGGAGGAGGAAAAGATGGGAAAGGGACGGAAAGGAAAGGTTGGGAAAAGGGAAAGGGCAACCGGCTCTCTCACTCACCGGACGAAACGCAGCCTTTAAAGACTACTTTACGCCGATTTTCTGTGAGAGGGTGGTACTTCCCCGGTCGAGCCAGCCCATGTTCGAGCTGTAGTAAATTGACTACAGCTAGGCTCTGCCACCTCTAAAAATATATCACGAACACCTCTCTTTCAATTATAATTTACGGACATTTGCATTTTTTACGAACTTAAATAATAATTCACTACTGGATATTGGAGAATAAGGTCATAGAATAAATCAATACTTTTTTATTAAATTCATGAAATATAGTTATTAAAGATATTTTAGAATTCTTAAAAATAAAAGAACTTTCAAATCAATGATTTACATATTTATTAATAAATAAAATTGTATATTTTGAAATGATTTCCAAACGCATGCTCGTTCTGAATCAGCTTGCTTCATATTGCAGATCTATATGTATAAACGACCCAACCTCCCATAAATGCTGTTATTGAGAAGGACAGAAAAAAAGCGCCTTCAACAAGTACCTTGGGTAACTTCACTATATATCCAAGAGCTGTTACTAATCTTGACAGCACATATGTTCTAAAAAGCATTAAAGCTGTTTCTTCATCAGGAGAAGTTGTCACATAAAGGGCTGCAACTAACCAAAATGGTGTCAAATTCTTCAGGTCACTGATATTCGCTCGTTGCATTTTATCTGGACGACAAACTAATGATGATAATGGTATAAAAGCAAGCAATTTTAGAGCTAATAAAGCTGAATACAAAAAATAACTTTGCATTAATCCAGAATTTAAAATGTCGGAAGACATGATAACTGAAATAATTATTAAAATAGTTTTCTTTTTTTATACTTTAGATTCATTCACATTGGAATTATGGAGAATTTTGAAGATATCAACGTTTTAATTTATTGAAATATATATCTCTTTATTTGAAACTAATGACACTAAGATGACAATCTATATCAATACTTAAATTTTCTATATTATATCATAGAGGTCGGTTGAAATCATAATCCAAAAAGAATTTGCTATCAGTAATTTTGACACTCACAAACTTAAAGATTTGAATGTGATATATATAAAAGAAAATCGTGTTCATTACACTTTTTATATCTCAAGAACAACTGTAGGGATATGATTGAAAATTGGCGAGGAGATAGTTTCGTACGAAGAGACAGACATAAGATACATATGTTTGATCGAAAAAGAAAGAAAAATTTAATAAATCCCAATGTCAATATTATTGCATATTATTTACTGTCTCTAGAGCGGAATAAAGTTCGACCATTCAGCTATATCAATCACTAACTAAGAAATTTACACGGACGAAGACTTGAGCAATATATATTATATTTTTTTTCGATTTTTGAGTTTTTTTTTTTCAAGACCTCTCAGAACCCATTTAATATTTTATTTGTGATGCTTATGTTTATTTAAAATTATTACAACATTTTTATTGTATTTACGTATGGTAAAATCGATCTATAACTAAAAATTTAAAACATAAAAGATTTCTACTACAGCTGAAATACAATATATACCAATAAACCAATCATTTAGATGTAAATTAATATTTTTTGGATAATTCTTCTCAAAAAAAAGACTGAACTTGGAAAAATAAAAGAAATATTTAAATTAAAAATCTAAATCGCGACCAATTTCAAAATTATGAAAAGAATTAATAACTAAGAAATAAATTTAATATTTATCAAGCTCGGTATAGAGGCATGTTAAACATGAAATATTACGAAACGAAAACGGAAAAAGGCTGTTCATACATCAAATATGACTAAATAGTTTGTCCTCAACACTTTGGCCTCAAACCATAGCCATAAGCAAAAAGTAGGATGGTATTTTACTTCACTTCACTTCACTACAACGAGCTGGATACGGAACACATTTCGAAACACATCCAGAAATAAATATTCTTTACAGACGAACAGGTAGACAGCAAAGTGATCATATAAGTGTTCTATTAAATCCTTTGAAGGTAGGAAATCTTATAGGTGGTAGAGCCTAGCTGTGGTTAAGTTACTACAGCTCGAACATGGGCTGGCTCGACCGGGGAAGTACCACCCTCTCACAGAAGATCGGCGTGAAGTAGTCAGTAATGACTGCGTTTCGTCCGATGAGTGAGAGAGCCGGTTGCCCTTTCCCTTTTCCCAACCTTTCCTTGTATTTCCTTATTCCCACCCTTCCCTATCCCTAAAAAGAAAAGGTTGGCAACGCATCCGCAACACACTTGTTGCGGATGTCCATGGGCGACGGTAACCACCTTCCATCAAGTGGGCCGTCTGTTCGTTTGCCACCTATAACACAAAAAAAAAATAAAAAAAATCGCAACTTACAATAAGGTAAAAAATAAAAAAATACAAACTGAAAAACAGTTTTCAAACCTGAAAACAAAATTGTCTTCAAGATTAACATGTAAAACTATAATGCTATCTTATAAATAAGTACTAAGTTTTGAAAATGTAACTATTTTATATATTTTAATATAAATTTTGAAATAAATTCTCTTTTCTTTACAATTTCATTAATCATTTGAGGTGATGAATGCTTAAAATGTTTCAATTGATACAAGTCAGCGCTACACTATTCAATATAAGGCTTTCACTTCAACGTCAAATTAGGAGTGATTGAAAATTGTAATTTAATTTTACTGCTTGAATCAAAATGTAGAATACAAAGAATTTAATAAATAGATATAAAAAATTTACAAAATTTCTCTCATATTTGAAACCATTTTTTTGTTGATTTTTTTTTATTACTTATACAATTTAAATAAGTTCAAGATATTTTAAAGAATTCTATGTAATATTCAAACAATGTTTGGAAGACTGAATTAATTGAATAAAAAGGCATTGTTGTATAAATATTTTACTATTGGGTCAGTATATTTTTAAAACATTAATATATTACAGATAAACGATGAAAATTTGTATAATTGTCCTAGCAATAGCATAGCACTTTGTTCCTGTCCAAATTACTTAAACCAATAGTTTTACAACATAAACATTTTAAAAAGAATATAAACACAATAATACATATGCATGTTTTGATAAAAACATCAAATTATATATAAAAAATGTTCAATGTCGGATTATAATGAGAATATTTATTTCGAGAATTAATAATATTTGAAATTATATTTCCTGTCTTGAAGTCTAGTTGACTTTTTAATTAATTCTTAATGTAAATTATAAAATAATCTGAATTAAATCTTAGTTTATATCATGAAAAGTTCTCAGTTTAATAAGCAATTTTCGCCTTTTCCAATATTCTTTTGATTTCTTGTTAAATAACAAAACAAAAGTATGCGGTATTAATCGATAGTAAAATAGGGTATGAATTAAATCAATTCCTTCAAAACTAAACTCTTCAAAAATTAAAAATAATAAAAATAATGTTGTGATTAAATCACACAATATAGCTACACCAATTAATGGAATTATTTTCACACTTCTCCTGTGAGTTACTGAGATATCCTTACAAGACATAACTGACCTCACTACACTTATAAATAAAAATAAATTTATTGTATTCAAGATATAAATCGATATAAGTCTAGGTCCAAAATCTTCCATAACTAAATGCATGGTTTGCTTAAATATGTTTGGCAATATCACTTCGGTTATTCCCATAATTATAGTCAATAAACTATAACTAAATGCGGCTGCTTTTCTTTTCTCAGCAGATATCTTTCCAGTCACCAAAAGTACAAGTCGCAGGTAGGATACTAGGGTTGCACACAATGACCAACTGAATGATGCCAAAAATACGAAACCAGGCAGTGAATGTAAATGATCAATTGCTTCTGAAAATACTTCAATAGGACCCAGGACCAACGTGCATAGATGTAGAGTTCCAAAAAATATTTGATGAATGCTCATAAAATTGTGAAGATTTCTCCATTTTGGATTTAAACACCAAATTGTAATTAAAACTATAGAACAAATAATGGACAGGAGCGCACTTAAAATCAAAGACATCACGATTTTTAAGTGAATTATTACAGTATCAATAAAAAAACTTTTATTTTTTAAATTAACCCATTGAAATGGTTATAATTTATGTTTAAAGCTATCGCACTCATTACTGTAATCACAACGATACGTTATCTTGTTATATTTAAAACTACATATTATTAATAAAATTTGCTTTTATATTTTAAATTGTGTTATATAAAAAGCAGAAACGCTAACTTAAAGGAGGTCTTATCAATTAGAAGATACCAATCTACCACAATTGTACTACAAAGTCAAAGATATATTATGGAAATCATCGTCTCAAAAAGATGTGGTCTTGTTTCTGGGATCGTTGACAATTCGAAACAAAGAAATTATTCGACTCCGCCGCACGATGGCCCGTCCTAAGCCATTAATTAATAAATTAAATTATTTTAGCTGTTTCAACTATATTTGTTTTTTCAGTTTAGTCTTCAATTCGTCATATCTCGCTTTCTAAAAAAAATCGGATATAAAAATAATACACGTGAATTAGTGTAAGCAGTATGTAACTTGCATTTTCAGAAAGAACAGATTTTTTTTATCAGAGCTTTCAAGAGAATGATCTATGTATTAGATGCAGTTAATATTTTCATGGTTAATTAACAGTTATGAAAAAAATATATAATTATTACGAATGTTTACTAAAATACAACTTACGAATCTCAGCAAATCATCCTTAAGGTTATAACACTTTGGTTTTTCTAAGGCTCAATACTCTACTTAATTCAAAAAATATAGAAGATTAAATATAAACCTACGTAGAAGTACATACAAAATATATTATTCAAGAAGTCGGGATATAAAAAAACGAATTATCTCAACTTTATCTAGTTTTATTTTAAATGCTTTTAACCTCCTGCTTACACACATATATATGTATATGTATGTATAAGTAATATTATTTGCGTGTCTGTATATTCGTATATTTTAATTAAAGATAGCTACAATTATTTTAATAATTATATAAAAGTTTGTACTTCACGTACCCCTCCAATCATTAGTGAGAATAATTATGATAAGTAACGTCAATGACTATAGATGATCGTATAAAAATGTTAAAATGTATAAACGTGAAAGGATAGATGTCATGACATAGCAGTGATATTTTAGCTATATTAAAAGTTTTCTTTCTCGTCTTTTGATGCCATTAAATAAAAACAAGAAACTAAGACTAAAGTTATATTGTACAGAGAAATATGCATTTCGTAACAGTTACAAACAACTCGTCGGAAAAGTTTAAAGTGCTGATGGTATAAATATTGGCCAGTTTTGAAATAGCAACAACATTTTTTTACTTATTCTTTATATAGTTTATATCTACAGCAAATATTGAATTTTACGACTTTAAATGTAAACAGTTATGAGATGTTTCACCAATATCATGGCTAAAATATTAGTCCATCAACTTTAACGTTAATGATGTTTTCCAAGCATCGTCACTTGGGGGATTGTTAAAGAAACAAGCGGTTAACTATGTATAAACTTCGACCGTTTCACTTTTTTATGATTCCTTGTTTATAGTATTTAAAACAAATTCTATCCGCAACTTTACCCTAGTATAATAAAGTTTACCACAATATTATTAAAATCACATTCTTGTTCAGTATTTTGTTTTGTCTAAAATAGGTTAGGTTTTGTGTTCTCTTTATGACTAATTCTTCTCTAACTAATTTATATTTCATTTAACTTTTATATATAACGAGTGTATATTATATATGTTTCAAAGTCACTCCTAGTTATATCTATTGTGATATCTTAAAAGCTAGGTCCTGCAGAAAAAAACTTTAATCTAGAAGT